GCGCCCAAGGGAGCGGCGGCCGGCCGCTCACGCTGCCGAGCATCCTGGCCGCCATATGGGCCGACCTCACGGGCGTCGACACGTCCGGCCGGCCCGGCTCGCCCGGCGGCGACGCGCAGGGCCCGCCGTTCCTGAGGCTCGGGTCCGTAAAGAGCCTCGAGGTCGAGCTTCGCCTGCCAAAGGCCACGCTGCAGGGGGCCGGCGTGTGCCTGACGGCCGCGGCCGTGTTTGCCCGCGGGGCCATGGCGATGCGCGGCATGAAGCTGGCGCTCTGCGACCTGCGCATCCCCATTCTCATCGGGGTGAACCCCAACGAGAGGCGCGCCAAGCAGGGTGTCGTTGCCAACGTCGAGGTGGAGCGGCTCGACGAAGCCCGTGATTGCTACTGCCCCCTGGAAGACGTGATAGCCAAGGTACGTTCGGGAGGAACACCGTGGAAAGCCGGGCCTGCTAGCTGACGTGTTTTGGGCGCTCAAGGCAATGACGAACTCGTCCTTTGAGACTATCGAGGCACTGCTGGCGGATATGGCCCTGCGTATCACGACGTACTTGGTCCAGAATCACGACCCGCCGGCGGATGGGGAGGGCTGGCAGCTCAGGATTGCGGTTGAGAAGCCCATTGCTGTGGTGTTTGCGGATGCCCCGTGTGTGGAGTTGCGCATAAATACAAATGACGTCTTGCTCGGAAAGGACGTGGTTGCGCGGTGAGTATATACTTTGAAAGTAAAGTGAGTAAAAAAAAAAATAGTAAAATATACTGAACTACATGGCCCGGATGATGACGCCGTCGTAGTACCGTATATATATATGCCAAACCTATGCACAGTCTAAACATGTCTTCTAATGCTGTGGGGTATCTATATGCTTCACTTGTTCTAGGGTAATACATAGCCCAAGTCTCTGGCATGCCTTCCGGTCTAAATCATATCAAACATCGCTCTACGCGTCATAATCCATCCTGCGGTGCCCGTTAAATGTCTTCAAAGGACAAACGCAAGGAGCGGCAACCACCCCCCCTTTGATAGGCCCCTCGCCACCTCACAAGTCGGCCTTTGCAGAGGGGGGCACGTCGCCGTTGGTCACCTGGCGAACAAACTCAGGGTCAGGATCATACATCATGACGTGGAAGTGTTCCACAGCGTGAATGGACTTGAGCGCAGCCCAATTCCTGAACCACACAACCTGTCAAAGGACGAAAGGAGTTAGCGCTCGGGAGTATCATTTGCAGCCCCCGGGCCGGGCGGGGTTTGGATGTTGCTCGACCTTGATACGTACGTTCTCTGCTGGGACCCGTGTTCGGAATGTCCTGGTTACAAACCCGTCAATCTCTGCTCTCGCCTTGTCGGTCAAGTCACCGGTGGCTTGATTGGCCTCGAGCTCAAATTTGGTCCACACAACAAGATGAACGACTCGCTTGTCCAATCCGTAGGGCCAGTCGTTCCACAGAATCTTTACGTCTTCTGCGTACTGGAAAGGGTTTCCTCGTGGCTGGAGAGGAGCTTGCCACCGCAATCGTTCTTGCAGAATGAAGCTAGCAACGCTGCCATATTGCCTGGCCAGTTTGAAAGTGAATGCCTTGTAGCGTCTTAAATCCGAGGGCCTTCTCTGGAAGGCCTCGAGACGGTTCTCGTGAATAATCCTGCAGACCTGTTCCCATGTGAGGACCCTAAAGGCGGAATCCGGCATACCAATAATACGGCGGTCCTTTTCGTTGAGAAGGGCGAGAAACGGAGGGCATTCAGCGGTCAACTCATGAGGAGGACAGTTGACCTGCCAAAAGGGAACGACATGGAAAGAGCCCATGACGATGAGACTGTCTGTCTGTCTGTTTGGACGGGCTGTATGGTCAGATCTCCAGGCAAAAAAAGGTAAATAGTTGAGTGTCGGGCCAAGTTGTCACAACTGTACGGAGTAGACCTGATCTGTGAAGGGAGGACGTCTGTCGAAGTGGATACGGATGCCGGCTAGGTTATGCGGATATGCAACGACGTTGATGCTGATCGTTTCCGCAAATACAGGCCGAGAGCGTTGTGCTGATCAATGGGGCAGCGAGATCAAGAGGGTGAGAAAAAAAGGGATAAGAAAACAAGACCAAGATGAGCTCCAGAGAGCAGAAGAGATACGGTCTGGAGTCATCCATGTCTGGCCCTTGGGGAAAGACGCAGATGGCCCAAATCTCCACATGACGCGGACGTCGATGCCACAATTACGCATCGCGGGACTGTGAACAAAAGATGCCCCACTGAGTCATGGCCCGGCAACGAGAAGTTGGCGATGGGCGAGGATGCCTCTTTTTAAACAAGTTATGAGACCATCTGGGACCATCTGCATACCGGAGACATGTTGGTTGTTTGATGGAGTGGCCAATGGAGAAGACGGATGCAACGTCGTTGTCGATCGGGACCAGGGCTGACTAAGCCTGATCAGCCAGTGGCCAGAGCCGATGCTCAATTGACAGAATGTCGACGTGTTCATGCAGAAGTACCAAGGTATGAAAACAGAAAGCAATTTTGATCAAAAGAGTAACCGTACATATTCCCGCATTTCCGCTACGAACAGACTACGGTCTGCCTACTCCGTGCTGGTCTTGGCTTTGAGTAGAATAACGTCCTGTTCCTGGCGAGACCGTGACGTTACCACTCGCTGCGAATTCAATGAACCTGTGCTCATTTACTCCCCCATGCCGGATCTCATGGCTCTTTTAAACATTGTCGATACACACTACTCCGTACACTACATGGAAGACTCGGGCGATTTGACCCTGACCAATGCAGCCCCCACGTGTCCGGGGATCAGCTTCCGGTGACTCGGCTTCTAGAATCGAGACTGGATTTAAATGTCTTTGAGTACTCCGTACTCGGTCGATGAGATGGACGGAGTACACTGGTGAAAATGAAAGTCAAGTGTCTGTCAAAATCGTGACAGTCTCACTGCAGAATGGCCAACGGGCCTCGACGCAACACTCTGATCAAAAGCTGGCCCTGCAATGAAGCAGTACTACGGAGTACTACTCTCCAGTACTCAATAAACCCCCCTGGGCAACCAAGCCACCTTGAAGCAGTTGCCAATTTTAATAGTCCGCTTCAGCCCCTGAGAGAATGGTCAGATATGGCAAGGTTGGGAGGTGACGCGAGATTATTGATTCCATTCTCGTCTCAAGCGGCAGTCACAAAAGGCCTGGCTTTCAATTTCTCTTCGGCCAGCAATGTCGGAGTGTGCATCCAATGTTTTGCTGCGCCACCGGATCTGTGATAATTGACGCAGCCGACGATGGCTGATGTGTCACTGTTTGTGTTCTTTTCCCCTGTACGCTCAACTTGTGAGAACAGGGAAACGGGTCCAACCAGTCGTTTTGAAACGGTATCACACGGAGTAGGCAACTTACGTACGACTTGGAGTTGCGTAGTTGAAGCAGTGTACGGAGCAGTTGTTGGGCAAAAAGACGGCAGTGATCAAGTCGGGCCTATGCCTGCGTAAAATTTTTCTATCCATCGACGGCTTACATCGAAGCCAGTTGAGTGAATGGCTTCGAGTTTGCAATTTGTTGGGCTTTCGATGATTCGCGCCCAACCTTTGTCGTGCCTTGGAGCAGCCACAGCGCAGATGCACAGATAAAGCACATTAATTGGACAGCACTTGCACAGGGACGGCGTTGAGGGTCCCTCCAGAAGGCTGAGCTGTGAGATATCACCGGGATCAGTCGCGTCCTGGGCCCGTTTTATTCGTTTTATTTGCCCCCATGGTGGTGGCGATGGGCGATTAAACAGAAGCCGGGAGTTTTTAATGAGATAGATGGCTGGAAAAATTGTGTGATGTGGCGTGTAAGTAGGAAAAAGCGATAGAAATAAGTCAATACTCTTTTTTTTATTCTTTTTTTTATTTTTTTTTTTTTTCAGGTTTTTGTTTTTCTCGCATTAGCAAGGGGTTGGTTGGCTGATGGAGCAAACTTGTTTTGAATCAAGGATGGGCGGACGGGCATGGCTCGCCATTCTCGACAAGTATTCGAGTACATGGATACTTTTATTAGAATAACATTGAAGGGCACGGCTCACCACCTCCATGTCCAGTCGTTGGCAAGAGATGCCGCCCCCTTTTCGTCATTGCCCACGGCGTAAAGGGTTCAATGCCCATGGCTATTGGCTCCAACAATGAAACCATCATCCGGGGCTGCACATCATTGTGCTCTTCGTGTTCCCTTTTCTGACGTCAACCTTTGCCCCTCTTTGCGGCTGCCCAGATTTCTGATAAACCAGACTGATGACGCTCCATAACGGAGCACACCAGACGGCACGCTGGAGTCAATACCGTCGGTCCATTGGTCCTCAGCGCTCCTCCGGCGCTTCTCCAGCACTGCTTCCAGCAGTTCGGGAGCAAGTTGGAGGTCTGGACGCTGTCGCTAGTTCCCGGTTCCCAGTCGTTGCTGCCACCGCCTCTCCACAAAAAGCCTCAACTGTTAGTGGACACCTCCAACGCTGAAATGCTGGCAGGCAACCAGGGGGGAGCGAGGGACCACAATTTTTGACCAGCTCCGTGGGAGTAACGTACTCTGTACGAACTGTTTGATTGATTCTGCACCGTCAATGTGTACCGAGTACTCCGTACAGAGCACCGAGTAGGGGCGTCGAGTACCAGACCAATAACTTGGAAGTTACTTGGCTTGACCAGTCAAAGCCAGAGTGCTCAAAGGTGCCGCTCTTGTAATGACCCCATTTTTTCGCGATACCTGATGAGTACTTATTTAGTAACACGATTAAGTGCTAAAAACTGTAGTTTGTTGGGGGTTAAGATAGGTGTAATGTAGCTTGTCGTATATCCATGAGTTTCAATACTTTTACCATCATATTAACTCGTAGTGGTATCATGTACCTCTTAATTTAAAATATGTGATTGGTTAGCATCCTTGTTCGCTACAAAATCGGCACCCTCGAGCACCCAAAGGGATCCTGGACCAGAGTCGAGACTGGAGCTCCCAATCTTCAACCAGCGACTCAATTCTTTAAATAAGTGACCTAGCTCCCTCCCCCCCACCAGACTTCCCACCTCCCCCTGCCCCGCCTTCCCTGGCCTCACTTATTGTCGACATTTCCAACCTTCATCGTCCTTCATTCCTCCTGAATCTCCCATTCACTCTCTGACCGCATTGCTGTGAAAGGCGTCGGTTTGACAGCTCCGCCCCCCAAAACTCTGCGAGAGACCTCGAGCCACACCTGATACCCCGATTCACGAGACTTATACATACAACATGGCTGGCGTCGTAAAGAGCGCTTTACCCTCGCACCTGAAGCCTGCGGCCAGCGGCGGCGTCGACGACAATGGCTTCGAGAGACGTCATCATGGCAAGACCCGTAGCCACATGGTTAGTAAAGACCTCTTTCCCGCTCTCTTCAGCTTGCGATACCCGTTTCATCTCAAACACACCCTGTACACCGCTCGCTATCCTGGCTCATGAGTCTGCGCGTTTGCGACTATCTGTCTGCTCTCCTTGTTGGGGTCGCCTGCTCCCTTGCTGCGGAAACGCAACACAACGCAACGCATTCACTGCAATTGTCCCATGGGAGCTCCCGGCTGCCGTCCAAGGATATTGTTAGAGTTTGTTCGTCCCATCCCAACACAGCTGTGTGGCTGTGGCTGGGACCTGCTGCTCAGAAACTTGTTTGATTCAGTAGCTTGGAGGGTCCCATGGGCTGCCAAGTTCACCTCGTTGTCGCCGAGCTTGAGCTTCGACAGAAGCAATGGCAGTGTTGGACTGTCCATGATCCTTGCAGGACCAGTTCACCTTTCACTACCAGTACAAATAGCGGATGCCCCGACCTTGACGCAAGCTGTTTATCCTTGCGGCTGGTTTTCTGACCACTCAGTTCTTTTTCAATACACCCCTTCACCTTCTTACTCACGGCTCCAACGACTTTTCTCCAACCATGCCTCACATGCTGTCCCGATCTGGCGGAATCCAGCTAACTGAGTCGCGACAGGCTTTCGAAAACACCTCTACCAATGTTGCCGCTGCTCAGATGCGCAATGCCCTCACCAACCTCGCTGAAACCGTCGAGGACCCTAACGACAAGAAGGTAATCATCATACCTGCTCACATGTGACACGGCAGATGGACAGAGCGACGAACTGACTACCACTGCCACTTTTAGCTGTTTGAGACTGAAATGGACAACTTCTTTGCTCTTTTCCGCCGCTACTTGAACGACAAGGCCAAGGGTAATGCCGTGTATGTTTTTGCCTCGAGGCTGAATCAAGAGGGAACAAGAAGGCGGTAAACTGACAAATCCATTCTAGTGACTGGGATCGCATTGCCCCCCCGGCCCAGGGCCAGGTCGTTGACTACGAGGATCTCGCAAACTCAGAGTCTGTCAATTTCCTTAACAAGCTCGCTGTCTTGAAACTCAATGGTGGCTTGGGTACCTCTATGGGCTGTGTCGGCCCCAAGTCCGTCATTGAGGTCCGTGACGGCATGTCCTTCCTCGACCTTTCCGTGCGCCAGATCGAGTTCTTGAACCGTACCTACGGTGTCAACGTTCCCTTCATCCTCATGAACTCGTTCAACACCAACGACGATACTGCCGCCATCATCAAGAAGTACGAGGGTCACAATGTCGATATCCTCACCTTTAACCAGTCTCGATACCCCCGAATCTACAAGGACTCGCTATTGCCAGTCCCCAAGGACTTCAACTCTCCCATCTCCGAGTGGTACCCTCCCGGCCACGGTGACGTCTTCGAGTCTTTGTACAACTCTGGCATTCTCGAGAAGTTGCTCGAGCGTGGCATCGAGATTGTTTTCCTGTCCAACGTTGACAACCTGGGTGCCGTCGTTGACCTGCGCATTCTCCAGCACATGGTTGAGACCAAGGCCGAGTACATTATGGAGCTGACCAACAAGACCAAGGCTGACGTCAAGGGTGGTACCATTATTGACTACGAGGGGTCCGTCCGCCTGCTTGAAATTGCTCAGGTCCCCAAGGAGCACGTCAACGAGTTCAAGTCCATCAAAAAGTTCAAGTACTTCAACACCAACAACATCTGGCTCAATCTCAAGGCTATCAAACGTGTAGTTGAGAACGATGAGTTGGAGATGGAGATTATCCCCAACGGCAAGACTATCCCAGGAGACAAGAAGGGAGAGTCCGACATTTCTATTCTGCAGCTCGAGACGGCTGTTGGTGCTGCCATTCGACACTTCAACAACGCCCACGGCGTGAATGTTCCCCGCAGGCGCTTCTTGCCAGTCAAGACTTGCTCCGACCTGATGCTCGTCAAGTCGGATCTATATACCCTCAAGCACGGCCAGCTACAGATGAGCGCCGCTCGATTCGGTGACGCTCCCCTCATCAAGCTCGGTGGCGACTTCAAGAAGGTTTCTGATTTCCAGAAGCGTATTCCCTCCATCCCCAAGGTCCTCGAGCTTGACCACCTCACCATTACTGGCGCTGTCAACCTGGGCCGTGGTGTTACCTTGAAGGGAACTGTCATTATTGTTGCTACCGAAGGTAGCACCATCGACATCCCCCCTGGTTCCATCCTCGAGAATGTTGTTGTTCAGGGTAGCTTGCGCTTGCTTGAGCACTAAGCTAGTCGGACGTATTAGAGGGAAAAACGAAGCAAAAATTGGGCGTCACTGGGCGTCTCGCAGAGAATGGCGAACTGCAATTAAGGCAAGCCTGAACGGCATCGGACTTTTCTATTCCTGTTTCTAGCATGGATTACCAGCCAGTGGGATGGTAACAACCGGCACAACACAGTACACACAATAGTACATATACATTAGATACGCTCTCCGGCCACAATATGGACGTGACTTGACAAAGGAAGCTCTTTTGGCCTTTATTTTTTTCTTTGGATTGGAGTGGGAACCGGGCATTGTAGTTGCAAACGCGTACGCAATACGTAGTGTAATTCGAAATAATGACTGTAGCCGGGAGGTCTGGCTTGATTTGTTTTTTTTTTTCCTTTTGGCGGGTTCGATGACGCGACTGTGTTGACTGTGCAAAACAATTCGAAGCATTAGGAATGAAGATGTAATATGTGCACAAAGCTTCCAAAACTTGGTCACAGGTGGGACTGGTCTCTTTTAGCGCGAGAGATCATTCCCGACGCCGTTCATAGCCACGCACACCTACTATCAATACAACAAAACAATGAAACAGAGATTTCGGCCAGTTGTGGTTCGTTAGGGCTCTTTTTGACGGGGCGCTCCCGCGGAGTACAATGAATGATGTGTCGAGCCCGCGCTGTGGACGTCGTGTCACACGCTCAAGCGAGGTGCATGTTGTCCCTGACAGACGGCACGACGAAAACCGATGGCAGAAAACTGGTACAAGTACTCTGTTCGGCGTGTAGAATCCTGTAATTTATTTTGTTTCCAGAGCCGTGTCTTTTTGCGATGCCGCCAATGGGAAATTGAACTAGGGCAGGCCCGATTGACTGGAATAGAACCGTGACGACAAGATGATGTGCCCCTTCTTTCAGCTTTGGCTACTCGGCACTCGGTGGAGAGGAGTAACAATACCTGGCAGTAAACATCAGCAAATGAGCGCCAAAATAGATCCACTTGCCACCAACGGGCCCGCATAACAAGAGGAGCGACACCCACTTGCCACGGACGAAAGTCTCGACCAACTGCGCTACCAGGGACAGCCCTAGAGAGCTCTTGTACATACTAGTACTATTAGACATGGATGGATTATTCTCGGCTCAATCCGTAATATGACTTGGTGTGGCGCCGTCCTTTGTTGATAGGAGCTGGGCAATGCTTAGTCTTGCCAAAGGGCAGCGCAGCAAGACCGGGGAGAGAAGGATACGCGGCTCGAGCCCAGCTCCAGGACTGGCTCTGAGACGAAATTTCTTCAAGTCTTCAGGTGTCCAAGTGTTGCGCATGTTCTGCAAAAGCCGGACCACATTTGCAAGCACATGGCGCCTGGTGCACCGAGTGTCACTTACCAAAACTGGGAGCCCAGTGCTCGACAAAGCACAGCCGATACATTGAGGCGTCAACGTCCGTCTCCCCAGAAACACTTGAAGACTAGAGATTGACACTTGATTGGGCATGGCGTGCTGCGTAGTTGAGCTGACACCTTTTATTAATGTGCCATAAGATTTAGTGTTGACCCTAATTTTTGGGTCATCTAATAAAGTGGCCGCCGCCATGTTTTGTGATGCAAAATTTAGTGAGTGACCAAGGTTCCCCTGATCCGTCAGGCAAACTCTAACCAACAGGCCTATGGGGTAAGTACTCCATACTCGGTAGGTACCTGGGTAAATACTTAAAGGCTGCAGTTCCGCCGTTCCGCAGAGTGAAATTGGCCTGATCTCCGTCGAGTGTACAGAGTCATAAATGGTGCGACTCGTAAGGCGAGGAAACGCACTGCAGGTGGAACCACCTTCGGACGAATGATGAATCATGCTGGTCTGGTGAATGTGACACTGCGCCGTAATACTGCGCTCGCTCATGTATACATGCGGAGGAGTAGTAGATGCAGTTCGCTGCACCTGGTATGAGACATGAGAGGTCAAACGCCGACAGACCTTGACCAGCTCGTCACAGCTTGCTGGCTTGTGTGCTTCGGCCTGTGTCTTCTCTTTTCTTATTATACTCGTACACACGTACCAGTAAGAGAAGGGATTGGAGCGCATTGCCTCACCGTAGTTAACAGGGACATTTCTAGGCTTGTTAAATGGAGGTGTGGAAACGATAACTAGTACCGAGGTAGCCTTGGCCACAGGGGCCCTTGGTCGAGCTTCGTTTACTCCGTACGTATCCCGTCAACAATTAGGACATTGCCCACCAAACGACCAAGCACCGCCCATCGGCCTTGCATCCTAAGGAGAAGGTTCCGAGCTAGGCTAAGAGGCTTCAGCTGTGAGTGGTTCCTGGACCTGGAATGTGATGAATTGAAGACCACAGACCACGACACGGACGGGGGGCATGGCAGCCCACTTGAGCATGGGGTGGATGGGGTGGATGAAATTTGCCGTCTTGTCCATGATGGGGACGCCGACTCAAGTCCTGCTTGGTTGAGCTGCAAAATCTATTTGAATCCCGGGTGCGCCTCATCGTGTTGACAAAATCTTGTCCCCCCTTTCACTCTTTTCGATCCTGTGTTTTGTAATACTCCTCCGTCAGCTTGTACCATCGTTTGGCCACGTCCACTCTGAGCATTCACTCACCCGTTTGTCTGATGTAAGTCTTGACATCAGTCAATCCTTTCCCTCGTTTGACGCTTCTTATTTTCTTTGTCCGTCGCCAATAAACCATTGTTTAAACACGAAATACCCGCACACCACCGGCTAGTTCTGTCGAACCATCGGCCATTATTTGCAAGTGCTATTTTGGGGCAGTATCCTGGTCCTGTGGCGTTCAATATTCCGACTGTTGTCGTTTGCTGGACATTCAGTTGGACCGGAGCGGGAACCGTTCAACACTCGTATTTCCTGAGCCTAGCAGGGTTTGGAGAGACACTCCTGTCTTCAGCTTGGCCGACACTGGTCTTGGTTTCAGAACCACACCCCAGTTTGGGTAAAGGCAGCTGCATAGTTGCTCTTGCCACTTCGTCTTGGCGAGCCAACTGCAGTTCTAAGTGCTCGTACTTCTGCAGCTGCCAACATTTAAAGCTGGCTCGCGTTTGATCGTCTGCTACGAACAAATTGAGGCAGGGGCCGATGACATTGCAAAGACACTCTTGCTGACCAGCTTTTCGTTTGACAGTTTGCATACTTCACAATCGTTAGCAGATTACCGTTTCTTTCAAAATGAAGTGCGCTCTCGTCATCTCAGCTCTGGCTGCTCTGGTCGCTGCCGCCGACAAGCCCAAGTTCCTCAACAGCAACTTCCAGGTTATCGAGGGTAAGCAATTCACTTTGGAGTACGACGGCTGTGTAGGCGGCTGCACCATCGTTCTTCAGAACGGTCCTCAAAACAACCTTAAGGACGTGAAGACTATTACCAGTAAGTTTACATCCATGCCTCTGCAGATGTGTTTGAACTTGTATGCTAACATCCTTGAAGCTAGCGCGACTGGCGGCTCTTTCACCTGGACCCCCGAGCACCTTGCGTCTGGCACCTACGCCATAAAGATCATCAACAACGCCAACAAGGAGTTCAACTATTCTCAGCAGTTCTCTTACCTCGGCACTGGAGCTACCGTCACGGCTTCTGGCGCCAGCACGACTGGCTCTGCGACTGGCTCTTCGACCGGCTCCGCTACTGCTTCTACTGAGGCCTCGTCCACTGTCAGCATCACTGCGAGCAGGACGGAGAGCTCTACTGCGAGCAGCACAGCTAGCACCACCATTTCTACTGTCACCAGTTCTGCCACCTCTACCAGCGGCTCTTCCACCACTTCGGCCCCTTCTTCCACGACTTGTGAGCAAAATACTCCTAATCTAGAATCGGATGACGAATTATCCACTAACCACCCTTCTACACAGCCCAGTCATCCACTTCCATCAGATCTACTACCTCTGCCACCACCACCGTTCCCAACGCTGGTGTCCGTGCCACGCCCATGGCTTTCGTTGCAGGCGCCGTCGCTGCCCTCGCTTACTTCGGTTAGCCTCCACGAATAAACGGGATGGGTATTTGTTTTTAAACTGATGGGTTATGTAATTGGACGCGGCAAGCCTTTTTAGTAGTTAATTCCCAGTCAGCGTAATTGTGTTGCGACTCACTTGAGAGCGAGAGGGAGCATCGAGCATGAATTGTCAATGTCTGTTTTTCGTTTTACGCTTAACTGGCTGCCATTGCACTGCTACGATGGCCTCGCTACATGTATCTCTTAGTTCTATGCATATTGCCAATAATGACATAATACGAATCTGTAAAAACTGGGGCTTATTAATCTTCCTTGCCGATCTTTTGAATAGTGTCTGCTCACTGCATCAGATGTCAGCTATCTGCCCAGTTTTCCCTCTGCGATCAGACGAGTCCTTTTTCCAGGGTCCCTTCCCATCGGAAAGTTTAATCGCGGTAGTTTGATCTTCATTATATCTTATCCTCCATGCGCCATGCAGAGTATGGCTGACTTCATTGATGGCGAAACAGAGGGAAAAAAGAAAAAAGACCTGCGGAGTAGCGTGTCCATATCCCAACGGCGCGTACTCATATTCTTTTGGCATGTCGTCAACGGGTTGACGTTTCACTCCGCATTATGACATCTGCATGAACATGGTACCCTGGTGTATGCTACACGATCCCTAGGGGTAAAACGTGCGACTTTACATGGTTGCGTGTTGGGTGATGATGCATCCTCCCGTGATTGGTGCGACGTGTTCATGAGGCACATTCATGCCTGACGTGGAGTTGCCACGCCGCGAAGAGACGCCCGGCAATGACCTACAAGAGGAATGTAAATTACACTTAACAGTACTATGGCTAATCGCAAACGTTATAATCCATATTGAAACTGAATATTAAACATGTCTTGGTACAGGCATCAAATGAAGCTCGGATACGACGTCCCTTTTCCCTGTCTGAAATCGATGCCTCATTGCTCTTCTTTTCCACCCCAAGCATTGTTTTATCCCGGGACATGAGACGTCTTACAAGTTTGCACAGGGGATGTCTAACGACAAAGGAAAAGGACAAATCAGAAAAGAAGGAAAAAGTAAAGCACAGGTGAAGCCACGATCCGGTACGCCCAGACCAAACCAAACTTTGGCCACTTCAGGAAAGAGATGATATTGATTGCCAAAGATGGGATGTCCAGAAATGGCACCAGAGCTGGAAAAACGAAGAAAAAACAAAAGGAAAAGAGAACACGGGTTGAACCTGCTACTAAACAAACATGTGGTATCGTCGAGTATTCGTCACATCGTAAAATATAGTGGGCGTTGTCACCAAGTTTAGAAGCTTCTTGGGTAGTTGTATGTTGGCTCTGTCCCAGTCTCCCCTTCCATTGCCCACGCTCCAACCGCAAAGACATCGAACTCATAAGAGTCGACACCGATGGGGGCCCACGGGTCAAGATGTTGCTCACTCTCAGCGTGATGAGACTCCCGCGTAGCGATGGAAGCATGTGGCCTGCCAACACCGGGGCGGCATTTTGGACGTCGGCGGTGGCATCGGCGACGGCCACCATTATCACCGGCTGCGCAAATGCTGGGAGAGCTGTTGTTCAATTTTTCGAAGAGTTGGACGTTTGTTGCCGTCAGTTCCTGAGCAGGTCCGTAGATGTGCAGGTCGTCACCACATGGGGCGCCGTCTGTCTGGACTATAACCCAATCCGTGCTGTCGTCACAGCAAGATGGAGACGACGAAGATGGGTATGTCTTCACATACGGAAAGGAGTTGGCATCATCGACGTTGTAGCCATCTTCGTCCCGCTTACAATCGGCTCCTCTGCCTTCAGTAGATTTGGTGACATGGCAGGCCGGTGGTGGCCGAGGCCGGTGAGCTAGGTTGGCACAGCGAGAGCGTTGGAAGGGCATTCTCACAAGCCAGGTAAGTTGTTTGCAGTATGATTTTGCAGTTTCGAGCGAAGTAGATCGCTGCTTCGATTTGCAATCAAGGCCGAAAAGAATGCCCACGACGTTTTCGGTTGGATCGTGTCGGTTGGCGACGAGTGTAAGTTGCTTGCTATTGTTTGAGGAAGATTGGCTGTAACAGGAAAAAGACAAAGCGAAGGGAGTGTTAGATTTTCCAAGGACTCAAGGTGCGAGTAGCTTCTTGAATCTGAACATTCCACGTGCTTTGTTATGGGAGAAAACTGGTTGTCAAGGACAGAATGCTCCAAAGCGAATGATTTGGGGGAAAGAAGTTGGCGGGTGCTCTGTGACTTTATAGCTGGGAAGGGTCAACAACGGAAAGGGACTTGCAGACCCAGGACATGCACATACATACATACATACATACATGCTCATGCAGGGCACGACGAGCAAGCAGCAAGCCACGAATAGCTCGAGACACCCGGCTTCACCATGGAAAGGCACTGGTAGGCAAGTCACTACGAGTCGCTACGAGTCGGGCACCGGGGGGATGGATCGTCAAGTGTTGCTTTTAGGCTGGCTGACGCAAAAGCGATGGTCTGCACGAACGTCGACGCAGCAGCCAACAAGGAGCCCGTGGCCATCGGCCTGCATCGGCCAGAGCTTGGGCCAAAACTATGGACGGCGGCAATGGGAAACTTGAAGGCGTATGTCACGCGGACGGCTTTATCGCTGCCACCAATCTTGGACCAACGAGCATCAACAGCAGTGGGAAGTGTCAACAAGAACTGGCGGGTAGGGGTTGTGTGATTGTTGCCAACACCCCGCTAAGGTCTGGCTGTCTGTCATGTCGTCCAGGATCCCAAAGATCTCGCCTCACTTTGCTCCCTGGCGGACTTTGGCTCCGTCCCCTTCGTTCCCTGTCGACCGCTGACCCACGTTACGATTTCCATCTGTGTCGACCAGACATTACTACTATGTTTCCGGCTGAGGGAATCATCCTAGCATTTGCGGGAAGAAGAAACTTGGAGCTCTGACAGCATCGAAGGCCCCAGCAAAGTATGGGACTTTCTGTCTGGAGTACTGAGGCTTAGCTCTGACCAGTGCCGATCCAACGGCGACCTGCAGTGCAAGATAGATGTCCTGTCGTTGCTGTGCTTAAAGAGAACCTCTAGCTTACTCTTAGGCATTATGCGGTATTATCTGACTTGTTTCTCGAGAAACAAGAAGCGTTCACGCCGGGTAAGATGCCCGGTTCGCAGCCTTTGGCATATTCTTATTGACCAGATAGAGGATCTTCTCCGATTGACGGCTACGAAACTTGGATCGAACACAATATCGGCGCCCCATTCGGACGCCACAGAAATTCTCAAATGGCTGCATCTCTTTATCCTGAGCTGTCCCTTTGGCTTGCCGGCCTGGCAGTCTTGGTAGTTTACGTGATGGTTGAAGTAATGCCATCGACCCGATAGGAGAGCTCCGACAAGATCGCAGGGGTCTGGCAAGGCGCATTGAGCACGTCCTTCCGCAGCTTCAAGGTTGCCAATAATAAGAGAGAGCTCATGGCCCAGTTCTTCTGGAACTTGTCTACTCAGTCAACCCTGCCACACCAGTAGCGAGCCTTGACAAGGGGCATGCAGCGCTGACAGCCCAAGTCCCCTTTCCTTGGAATTGACTAGACTGCATTCACCGAACAGAGAAAACAAAGGCCCCCCAGTTTTCGACCAGAGACCAAGCTCCCGCATACTTGTCCGGACGGCAAACGAAAAACCTAGTTCAACCTAGTTGATTCGTGGCCAAGGGCTTGACACTGAGTGATTATTCTTGAATGCACGTCATGGGCTCCAGGCAGGCCATGCCCCGGCTCATTGTGCGTGTTTCGCGTATAGGATACCTAGGCAGTCGATTGGATGCAGACGCGTCGTATGCCGCTTTCCCTAGAGCGTACCGGGTATGACGAGAGTATGTCCAACCGCCGCTGCAGTACCGAATGCGAGTATTTTGAGTTACATTGGTACAAAGTACGATGTGGCTAATTATACATATACCTGCATGCAGCGCTCACGGGAGGGTGTCGGTGGCCTAAACCAGAGAGCTCAAAAAAAAAAAAAAAAAAGAGGAAGCCATAAAAACCACATCAAGGGGGGGGGGGAACCCGGCTGTTGCCAAGTATGTGCAACTAATTTCCCAGGCACATGCAATTGATGATAATAATAGCTCAGCACTTTATCCAACTATCCTTGGATGGTTGCTGGGGGGCCAAAACAGCCTTGGAAAATCCTTGGAAATCTTGACTCCCTTTCCAAAGAGCAACCCGTCAACCGCCACGTTGCATAGCGAGTTTGACAAAGAAGCCATCACTTGACAAAAGCGCCGAGAGAAGAGGGAAAAGATGGCTAGAGCCTCGTTCCCCAATTGGTAGCTCGTCTGGCAAGAGTAAAGGAATACAGGAGCACACGAAGGGGTTCATGTTCCTGATGAAGGGCCGTGCCACCACCTTTCTGGCTCTACAAGCTAGCAAAACCAGGTTGATGGAGACGGGACGGGATCGTTGTGATGCTGGGCGGCCGATACATTGTCTTTCAAGAGACGACGCACCCCTACATTTTGGCGTTTATACGTTTTAGTTCCCAGCGACCCCCAGAGTCTACGAGGCATTGGCCACTAGAAAGCCTCCGACACCCTCCACAAAGCCTTGTCTGCTGCGCCCAGTTTCTACTGCGTTCACCAGACTTCTTCTGCCGCTTCTCGAAGCCTACCACATCGGGTCCAGCTGATCAACGACGAGTGAACTTGCATATCTTTGATGCAAGGCTTGTTATGGGGGCCACGATTCTCGCTATCCATGCCGCTTGATGTCACAGCATTGGATAGTGCGTCTTCATCATGACCTGGTCGAGGAAAGGATAACACGGCACGGCTGTCGGGATTCTGGGTCCCCGGTTTTCTCGCCTGTCAGACCGCTTTGGATTGGCATCAGCGTGGTAAAATCGCTCATGTCCGGCCCATTTCGTGATACATCGCGGGGCATGCTTCCCGCACATGGCGGCAGGAGAACGGACTGTGACCTTCCTTCAGCGCCAAAGTTGCGCTTATTGTACATTCACGTTGGCAGCTGATTCTGTTCATGGTGGCCTCAATAAAACAGCTTCGGCACGTCCGAAGCGGAGTAAAACAGCTTCTCCCAGCTTCCCACATACGTGCAGGGAGCCCTCAAATGCAAGTTCAATGCGCAAGGCGGCGAATGTAACGATGCTGATGTTGTATCTGCGGGTAGTCATGTCATTTGTGAACTGTATCCTTGATGAGTATTATGAAAGACCATGGCCACGCAGGCTAGTTTCTGTCGGGTTCACCAAGAACGAAACCATGTCAACATGGTATTGAACAACCCCGAGAATTACAAACGTGGATAAATGGTGGCTGGGCAGATACAGCTTCAGTCAGAAGCCTTGACCGGCTTTGGAGCTATCCCAACTGAGGGAGAAATGTTTGTCACGCTACATTGCAGGATGAACTGAGGGAACATTGCCAAATGCAAAGGTCTGTGAGTTATAATCAAGGAGATGGCTATTAAGCTACGTAGCCAGATAATGGCCCGCCGCTTCCCAAGCCTGCCGCTTTCCACGTCCCACGGCCTTCTGCCTTATCCCTCCCTCTCTGCTTTTCGGTAGGCATGGCATCCTGTGTCGTCTATTCTTCCCGTATCAAATAACTGCCTTCAGTAAGTGAGTGTGCTTTGATAAAAGACCGGTTGTCAGCCCCCCAAAACTGCTGACAAGCAGGAACCTGAAAGTTATCCCAACTGTAACTCCCCGAGACGGTTCCAAATAGTGGGTGGGACTGGCAGCAGCAAGCCGAGAAATACTTAATCGGGTGTCCGACCAAGTTCATCAAGTATCCATTAACATGTCGTGGCTCATGATTCTCATTACTTTACATTGGCCTTGAGTACCCGTTGGGTCCTGGTGTAGGTGGGGGCATATTTGCAAAATCCAAGTTTTCAGAGTGCCAGGTCCAAAGAGGAGCCAGTTCTCCCATTTGGGCAGTCGTCAAATTTTCAATGTTAAATTCTGGACCCGTATCAACAATTTGTTGTTGGTAAATGCCATTGTCCAACCCCGTAGGATCATTTATTGTGGTGAAAGAGGGCCTTGTATGCTCGTTCATAGGAGCGGGTAGGCTCCCAGAGCTGGTTGGCCACCTTTGTAACGTTTGTGGATCACCCACAAAGTTGTTTGTATTCGGGGATATCGACGTGCCTGGGTCATTGAATGAGATGTAGCTGACGTTCTGCGGCATCTCTTGGTTCCCATACTCGGAATTACCGTTGTTACCGTAGTTGACGTGCTGAGCTGCCATAGCCTGCGGTGCCAATTGGGCGGGTATTGGCGCTACCATGGCGTTTGGCATGGGAGCCGTTGGTACGGGGGCGGCAGCTATGGCTTCAACAAGAGGCCTCTCAACCTGATTTATCGCAGCTACCGCAGCTGGAGGAGTAGGCACAACGAGTGCAGACACTTGGGGAACGGAAGGCATTTCGTGCTGGATAGGACCAGATGGTCGCGGTGATCTGTTATTAACCCTCGTGCGCTTTACCTGACGTTCCAAATATCTGCGAGGGACGGCTTCTGGAAGTCGCCTCACAAGTCTTTCAAGAATGTCGTAAGAAGTTTTGGATGTTTTTGAGATCGTGTTCAGTTTCTTAAGCATGTCGACGGCGTCGCCAATAGATGCCAAGACATCAGCACGATTAGATATAGTATATTCTGTATCTTTGAGAACTGCGGTGCAGAGGATGGCAGCGGTGTCGAAAATCGAGAAAATAATGAAATGCAAGCGACCGTCTCGGTTGTAGATCTTATCAACCCATCGTCGTAAAGTCTTCATCAGTTTGAGACTATACCAAACGCCAACGGATCGGATGTTGAGTTCGTCGGGGTCAGAATTCCAGGTGTACTGTTTTACCATATAATGCCTGATTGGGTTTAAAATTAGGAGGCACGCCATGGTGTAGACATAAAACCTGTGTGCAAATAACCAGGCACATTTATCATCTTTGCTAGTGTCAGGATTCTCAAACGCGTATTCAGGTGGAAAATCGTCCACCCATTTCTCAATGATGGCTTTGTACTCTTGAACTTCACACGGGGAAATTACGTTCTTGGGGGCGCTGAACCGCGAGGCTAATTGGCGAGTCAAACCAGACTGCATCTTCATATGTTGCAGGGGAGACACAATGTGCCCCTCCAGTGTTAATTCGGGAAGTTCGGCATCGCAGTCGGCTCGATGTATGATCTTGGGTCTAGATAGGCCAGAAGATATCTGCCTGGCATTGAATAGTCAATATGAGGCAGAAACAAAAGCCGCGAAAAAAGAAGTGAGCTTACCAATCCCAAGTATCCAAAATGCACCATAATCTTCTGCGCATTTCGAGGTCAAATTCACTGACGGTACCGGGTGCGGGCTCCTTATGATAGCCTAACTCATTGGCCTCCAAAATGGCAGCACTTAAAACGTGCCATGCCTCGAGAAACTTGGCTTCCGCTTTATACCAGTAACAAGAATGTAAGAGCCTCTGGACATTCAGGTAGTGATAGTGTCCAACGGGTATGACACTGGCGAGTTCTCTCATGGCTGCATGGAGCTGATCAGACACCACGTCCATGGTGTCTCCCAGTTCTCTCTCGAGTGCCTTTTCGGTGGCATTTTCCACATGCTGGAGAGCACACGCGCAGACGATAGCCAAAAGACATGTATATTGGAGCGACAGCGGTCGGCTTTGCGAGCGCTTATCCCACCAGATGTGATAGTCCTGCAAGAAGACGGGCGGGTATATGATGTAGTAGTGATAGTTGATGTCGCCGAGGAAATGTTGCATAAGAACGTCTGTATGAAGGAAGCACAAGATTAGATAATCAATTTATTTATCTCGGATTGTAATTCGCAGAAGTAGTTATCAGCAAGATAGCTGAAAGAGGAAAGACTTGCCCATGGATTGTCGCTGGGGAAGGAGCTGCAAAACCCGGCGCATCTGGGGAGACGAGTCGGCAGCGACAAAATCTTGCTTGGGAGCTGGCTTCTCGGACTGTGCAGCATCATAAATCGACTCATTAGATCGACTGACATCAAAGAGTGTGCACAACTTGAAGCAGCTGGCGACTGGATCAAAAGCAACCATTTATGCGCAACATACCACTCCATGGTCAATTCCCAACGTGGCGTATAGACGGGTCGCCAATGCGTCGAATCCGGTGCCATCTTCATCGTCGGCTTCGGCAGTGCCTCGATTAGAATAATCATCGTGCGTACGCTTCAGCTTCTCTGTCAAGTCGTGGGCTGGTGTGTCCAACGTCGGGTTGGAGTAATTATAACGGCACTCATCGGCTATCTTGCGTCGTTGGCACCGATCGCATGGCCACTCACGATTGCACTGAAAAAAGGCAGCATTAGTTGGATTTGCTGTTTGTGGCTCAACAGCATACATGGGGTACAATCCAGGTGAAGCAGCGCGCTCTTTCATCCGTGAAGTCTACCTCTAACACGACTGTGCAGCATGTCCATCATTCTCCGCCGCGGAGCATGGCTTGTCAATTGGGTGAGATAGGAAAGAAACGACAGTGTGTACGGATGATTGTTTGGTTTTGAATTTTAGGAGTTGACATTCGCGGTGCGATATGCACTCACCTTTTGCTTTCGTCGCTGACACTCGGTGCAAGCAGAGCGGTTGTACCCGGTCTCGCGATTGGAATCGTCTACAGGGACACTAGTAGATGCGGTAGTGGCCATGATTCCGACCTCGCATCCCCTCTCGATGAGGCTTAGAGAGGATATTACGATATAACGAGAGCAAGGCTGTAATATGGTGCTTTGAATCGAAACGAAGTCAAGTCTAACCCCAGAGTGTGGAGTAGGATGTTTGCTCCGTCACTCACGCGGACGGACCGGCCGTTATAGCCTTCCACTTTTTAGTTCATTTGCGTTTATTCTGGGTCAGTCCGTTCCTAGTTTGTACGGCCGGTGAATGATTGCCCGTACGCGCATCATGGACCCGGCACTGTCTCCATGTTTCTCGTCGGTCCTGTCTGGGTCCAGCTCTGGAGCTTCAGAGCAGCCCATCAACTTCCGAGGATTCCAGCTGTCAGTCAGCACATGGGACTCCGGACCTTGCTAGTGGCGCCCAATCATGATGCTGTGCAGCCATCCTCAGGGCTAGTCGGAGCTAGGACCCGAGTCGATTGTGGGTGGACTCCCTTGTCGAACCGCCCATGTCCAAATCTCGGAGATGGAGAAGTTGAACTGTTCATGCCCAAGTGCCCAGGCCCAACATGTTGGTAATTGGGACTCGGTGCATCGTCCCGCAAGCATATGCATGCGCGGCGCTGTCGCTATGGTTGCCTATGTCTCTGCGGACGACGAGTTCACCTCAAGATATGCAGCCTCATTTGAATTGCCTGTCCTCGGAACAGAGCACGGGACGCAGGGCAACCTGACCACCGGTCAATCGTCGTCGAGGCTGACAAGTTTTGCTTTTGCAGCCAGTCCACTGGTAGTGTGCGGAGTGAAGGCGCAACTGTTTCGATGCCCTCTGTTCAGTTCAGGCCTGCTGACTATTTCATGACTGTACAATATTGTTCTCCGTACTCCGTGGACAGCCTGGCTATGCGAGGAAGCTGAACTTTTCAACCCTGGCCCTGGTCGCACATCCGGTGCCGCACCCGCGCCCCGATCATGGGAACTTCTGGCCCCCACCGTCCATCCCAATGATAGCAGCTCATCTGGAACTGCATATTCTTTTGGAGAAACATGTCTTACCAGATGCAGCTGGAAGGGTCCTCCGCCCAAAGTACGCCACCATGCATGACCGTTTCTTGTTCTCTCATCCCCCCCACTGCATTTGATTTGGGACTTGCAGCGAACCTTACCAGCCCGTCATCAGACCAGATGTTTGCGTCGCTCATGCCAGATCTTGCCCAGTCTCGTCAGGGCACAAATGGAACTTCCGAATGACTCTACAAGATGACAAGGACCAATTCGATTGCCCACAACTTGGCCGATGGTTGCTGGTACTAGGACTCTCTTGGCTGGCATCTAAGCGCCGATGACGCCCTTCAATTGTGTCCAGGAAAAAATTCACAGACAGGACAGGGCTATTTGCTGTCAACTCTAAAATCTCATATGAGCCGTTTCCCATGCGGGACTATCCCTGCCGATTCCGTCCCCATTGCTTGTTGCCTGATCATCGGACCAATCCAAGTCAACTACGGAGTATCGATCCTACAGATCCCTGGCCCTGGTCAAGAGTTACTACTCAGTTTGGTGGGCCATTGCCTCTTGAACAGTTAGTTACTACTAGCTTCAACGGCTATTCTTACAGGTACATGAATTCATGTGCTCGGAATATGGGGTACGGGGACATGCATACTTTTTCTTCTCCGTATTCCAACCTAGACCAGAGACGAAAACAGTCAAGCTGTTTCAGACCTTGCTCATCAGTTGAGTACGCATCACAAAATCCTAGGGAAAGGCTCGTGTCCCATGGTCCTGGTCATTGGTAACACGTGTCCCCATGCGCTCCGGTGGCCGTACGACAGCGTACAAAATAGTTTTGTGCGTAACGAGATGAATAAGTTTCAGGAAATACGCTGGCAGCGGATTGGTTGATTTGGGTACAAAAATCAGCCACGGACGCCTGGGCATGCGGTAGCACCAACAGGACAAGACGAGAGTCATTTCCACGACGCTGAAGAGAACAGCCCACAAATCTTCTCCCTTGATGAAATTCTCCTTTATGCTATTACGTCCGGGTTCCAAAGTTCCCTGCAGGAGCAAACCTTTTTTTTTTTTTTGCCAATCCTGTGTCAACTCCTCTCTGGATGCAACATCCCCTCAGGCTCAATTCCCTAGACATATTGGCATCTGAGGATGCCCAACGAATAGCTTTTGCCCGTGGTTCGTGCTCACTTCTTTTACGTCTAGCACTCTCATCATCTTCTACGTTCAGCATATCATCCGCAGTGTCCTTTCCGGATTGGGACGTTGCCTATTTCCCTCACGTCAGTCCCACGGCATACTAGGTTGCCGCGGCTGATCCCGCAAGATGGAACTTTACCGGCGTAAGAATGCGCTGAATCTAGATTCATGTCTCTGTACGGAGTACGGAGTCCATGCATATGAGTCACGTTTTGAGACATTTTCATCAGTTGAACGGTTGTCCGTTTGAGCGGTGAATCTATAGCACAACAGGGCACATTTTCGAGTAACATCTTGGAGCACTAGTATTCACTGTCACAGGGTGATCATGCGACGCACATTAAGCACACTGTGCAAGTGGCTTGTTTGTCCATGCAAAGCGTGATACGGGGGAAGGTGAAGAGTTTCCTACAGGTCCATGGCGACCTGCCCCCAACTGCCTAGGTAGAAGTGTAGATGCGTTGGTCTATCACCCGGTACACGCGAAGATATTCCATTACTGAGTGCTAATAATAAGTCGTCCGAGAAGAGAGTGACTCACTTGCTAGCCAACATTCCTAGGTACTTTTGCCTCTGGCTACATTCTCTGCATAGGTAATATTTTGTAGTAATATGATCTTGTATTGGGAATGAAGGCCGCCCACATTAGTGATGCCCATTGCATCACACTCTGATTCGCGGTGAACACATGTTCAAATACGTGCTTTGCGTGATCTTGTTTCAGGTTCACAATTTCGTTTTACTGCTTTGAAACCAAGTCCCGCCTCGAGTACTATACCTTTGCCCAAAAAAAAAAAAAAAAAAAAAAGGGACCACCTCTCCACTCCAATGACGCCTCCCATGTGCAAATACACAAAACAAAAATATGCCACTAAACACACAAGACCGTCAGGCCTCCACACCAGCAATGCTGCCTTTCCTCCTCAAATCACCCGCCTTCAATTTCCTGACTACCTGATACGACCTATCGAGCTCATTCTCGACGGCACATCGAATCCTCAGCGCCGCCACCGCGGGCCACACACTCCTCTCGCCCCTCAAGATCCAGTAATTCAGCGTATCCCTCGTCGGCGTCTCCAAAAGTCGTACGAAGTCCCCGGCCGTAACTTCCGGTACTAGCGTCATGGAGGCCGCTGGTATTCGCTCATCCACCAAAAATCGCCTAATACTCGACGGAAGTAGTCGCAGCGTGTCGAGTTGTCGTAGACGGTGACGGACTTCGAGACCGACCATGCGGACGAGAAATGCGGAGAGTTGTGTGGTTTTGCTGCGGGATTCAAGGAGCGACGGGCCGTGCATGTCGGACTGCAAGAAGGGGATGAGGTAGGGGCGGGCTTGGCTAACGATGAAGTGGTTTACATTGAAAAGTTCGGCGATGCGTTGGAGAGGAGAGTCCCGGTCCGAGAAAGAGGTGTGTGTCCAGTGGCGGAAGCTGGTAGTGTTGGCAGCGGCCCAGGGCACGATGGTGCCGTGGACGTCTTTAGCGAGGATTTGGACTTTGCGGGAGCCGTAGAGCGAGGGTGACGAGGCATTAGATGCTACGGCGGCCGTCCATATCAACTGGTTTTGCACTGTCAGTTGAGTGCTCAGATGTAACGCGTGGATTGGGAAGCGGGGAGTTAGAGTAACTCACAACGTTTGGGGTCGTGATATAATTCATAAGAGTCGGCACACCGCCCTGGCTCTCCGTCGCAACAGTAATGTTTAGGACCCTCTTACTCCGATTGTAGGCCTCTTCGAAGGTTAAATCGCCCACGTTTGCCCTTACACAATCCTCCAGCACTGTAACATCTAAAAAGTATCCTTCGCGAGAAAACCTCCGCAGTCGTCGCATCAACGTCGCCCATCTCGATTTGAACGTCTGTTCACGGGGTATCACTCCACTCTCTGATCCGCCTTTCGACGCAAACGCCGAGACATCAATACCGTCGCCTGTCAAGATACTAGGTAGTTCTTCTTCTGTATGTATAGCCACCAAGGCGGCTATCAGGGCACCCGTTCCTGTTCCAGTAATGATGCGAGGGAGGAGACCGCGCAAGAAGAGGGCTTTGACTATACCAAGATGGCATAATCCAAAGATGGATCCACCCTGCAGGACCAGAGTGCTTCGACCGAATGCCTGTCTGGTATCATGAATAAAATCGAGTTTCATCTGATTCGTCAATACGCTCCCTCCGCCTTGTGAGTTGGACATGAATGTAGTGGGCAGTGTGCTGATGTCATCCACAGTCTCCGCGACTTGTGATATGTACTCCTCAATCAGATATTTGGTCCCCGAGAAGGATCGATTGTACAGCTTGGGCACGGTGATGTTTCCTAAATTACGGATGAGGCCGGATCGGAGAAGGTTGACTAATTGCTGAAACTGGCTCTCTTCACGAGCAATAGCCAAAGAGTGCAAGCGTTCGGTGATGAGCCGCCAGTCATAATATTCGGACGTAGGGTTGTTCCTCCTGCACCAAGCAAATGGTTAGCAAGGCTGTTCCTCAACGCATCGGCATGGTTGGTGAGGCGCCGAGTTACCATAAGTCTAAGCCTAGCAAGCTATCCAAATGGAGAGCTGCCTCTTCCCAATCCTCGAAGCTCTCTGCATTGCGCAACAGTTCCAGCCACAAATCCACAGGATGCTTGCTGGTATGCCAGCCCACGAGCTTCTGTACCGGCGTCAGTAGAAGAGCCATGACGAGCCAGCCAGCCAGCCAGCCAGGCTCATGGTAAACGAGCAACAGGCGAAAAAAAAAAAAAATGTTTGGAAAGGAGCGAACACGGAGCTTAAAACCCACCTTGATCCAGAACATGCCAACATCCACAATCACCCTCCAGACAGCTAGGACAGCCCCCATGATGTGCCGAGGGTGACGAGATCACAGGCCATGCGGCCGATAGTGACACTAGGGCAACGTAGAGAGGTGGGGTCACCTGAGAGACTGGACGGTTTGCTACTCTCAGACAGAGGCCTGCGTGACTTGACGCAGCATCTTAGGGCTGTGCGAGAGATTGTGAGGTGTGGTTGCCTTGTTTGTCCAATTGATCCAAGCGGCACATGCTGAGCCAGCGAGTCAAGCCTTGCTTCCGACTCGGGACTGTGAGCATGTGATGATGGATGGAGTGTGATGTCAGGGATGAGATGAATTTGCATTAGCTTTCCCTAAGCTTCGGAGACGGAGGCGCTAAAACACCCCCACACACCCGGAACCGTTCCTTGGAACCTACCATATACCTATGTAGGTACCTACCTCGGCACTTAGCTACTAGATTTCGGATCACGTCGATCAGTTGCAATGACTGACAACGAATGCGACAGGCCGACGAAAATCTTTGCTCCTGCCGCTGCGCCCCTGTCGATAGCCTAGTTTGATTATTCTCTTCTTGATCGGACTGAGGGTTCCTGCTTGTGTTTTGCGAGACGACGAGTCCATCGGCCGTATGACGGCGTCAACAGTCTACACAGATGTACCTTAAGAAATCAGCATGGCTTCTCTCAGACTGCGTTGACACAACTATGGTATGCTGCTTGGGTTCGAAATTTTCTCATCCTAGCTCTTCAACGCCTCACAAGTGATGATACATAATAAGTACACTCCATGATAAACAGTGATTTGCACTTCCAATCCCCCCCAACCAAGCATGAGCCCAAGCCCGTTGCTCTCCCTCACTCATCCTCATCCTCTTCTATGATGTTTCGCCGCCTAGATCTTGCAGACGGCTCGCCAGGTTCGACTTCATCTCCTTCGGCATCCTCATCATCATCTGGATCAGATGTCCTCTGTCGCTTGTTGCGGGGTCGTCGTTCCTCCTCGTCATCATCCAATAAATCCTCGTCATCTTCTTCTGCTGCACTGTCCATTTCTTCCTCATCACTTCCCACCAGAAAACCGTCGTCCAAATCGTAGTCTTCACGCCGTCCAACACCTTGTGGGAGGTCGTCATCAGAGTCATACTCAGGCCGGCGTCTTTTGGGTTTCGTAGATCCTGGCATGCCTCGCTTGCGTCCAGATCCAAAGCCACGTCCACCTTCGAGGTCTCCGATCGATAAACCCCCGCGACCAGACCGTCCGAGCCCACCATCCATCTTCAACGCGGCGTTTTCGCGTCGACGCTGAGCCTTCATCCTCTCCTTTTCTGCCATTTCGGCCTGTTTCTTCTGCAATTCGGGGTCTCTAGTGGTACGGATAATCATGTCGCCGTCGTTTACCGACTTGCTGGCTTGTGCCATCCGCTCTGCCAATACCGACAGCGCATCATCTCCAACTGCCTTATTGGGCCGCACGTTGAACTGCTCCGTCAAGTGGCCAACAGTCAGCAGGAGATTGCTGCCGAGTTCTGCCGCCGCCGCGTAGTTGTGCCCATCGTTAATCTCGTTGTATGGTTGGTCCATTCCCGGCGCGAGTGCCTTCTTTTGTATTTCGTAATGCTCGCCACCAACAGAGATGGTCATTGAACCATCACTCCACCTATAGATATTGGTGTTGCTCTGTAGATCTCCAGTGCTTGCATCTTTTCGGATGCGAGCGACATGTTTCGGCCGGTCGGACTTCGCATTGGCAAGGTCAAAATCGCTTGGTTGGAAGGTGTCCGCAACGTATTCCTCGGGCATGAATTTGATGAATTTGGGAACTCTCATAATACGAAGCTATTTTGCACAGTCAGTCTATGTTGCAATCGATATCGCGTCATGAATAACTCAAGCGCTCTTACAACTCCGTCTTTGGGGTTGGGGATCTGATGGCGATACGTCTGTACCGCCATGACAACCCGATCTCGAGTCTCATGTGGCAGACCATCCTCCCCATCATACTCTCGTCGCCTCGCATCAAAATCATCATCGGGGTCTGAGGCTAGTTCGTCATCATCCAGAACTCGTGGCGCTCTCGGCTCTTCGTCGCCCTCGTCGCCAAAGAGGTCATCGCCGGCGGTTTCGTCGAGAACACCGAGAGCGTCCTCAGAGTCAGACATGGTGCTAAGAGCTGCTGTTGCGAACTGCAAAATTGAAGTTTGTGGTTCGCAGTCGATAGGAGCCGAACAATGTGGCCAAAAAGTTGTTGAGCTAGCTGGAGGGCGAGATTTGAAGGTTGCGCAGAACTATTATGAACCGGCAGCCATCCGCGTGCACGCAGCGGCGAGGTCAAAATTGCGCACGGGCCACATGCAGAGCGAACCAGTCTCACGACTCGCACCTTTGAGCAGCCTCTCCCTCCAAAAAGCTCACTGCATGCAACAAAATTTAGAATTGATTATCTATTCTTGAAAGATTCGATTCTTATAGGCCCGTTGGTCTGGTTTTATGTATTCAATGATTTAAGAAGCTCTCTACAGTAATGGCATTTCTGCACACAGTCCGTGCTGGTCCAACCTCTCACCGGAAGCAACCCGAACACCGCCTGACTGGACAATTAGACGCCAGACGTGCAAATCGTCGTTTCAAATATATTTGAGCATTGAGCCGTGAGCTAATTCGACCCCTGTGCGGCGAACAATTCATTCGGAGGCGTTGTAGCTGCCAAACCAGACATAGACATGAGGTTCAGGCCGGGCATTCCTGGCTGGCTTCTTGTTACTTCAGCATTGTCTGCGAACTATTCACCTCCGGGTTCCGGGTTCCGGCACTTCACCCAAGCTCTTGAAATATCTTCGGGCCACCGGGTCTCAACACGATGAGTATCGTCCCCAGGCCATTTGAGCAGAGGAAGCTTCTGGCGCGAGGCATTGACGCGATGTGTGTCCAGACCGCGGCAGGGATCTGGATCTATCTGCGCCTCTTGGACGCACCTGAGCAGATTGACCAATCAGCGCGCGGCTCCCCACATTTGGCCGTCACCGTCTCCTAAACCCCGTCCCCCTCTTTCGCTCGCCAGACGTGGACTCCTGATAGAATTCCTTTGCATAGTTACTAGGCACTTGTCCACGCCGCTTTTCTTGGGTGGTATCTGCTTCTTGCCTCACGCCGACGGTTGCTTTCATTGCTTCTCTTCCTACAGCCTTGTCCGCCGTGTCCGCCGCCTCGCATAAGATCCCGTGACGGGAGCTTTCGGCTCCTCTCTCGTTTCCTTTGCATTGCCGCCCTCCATCTCAGTCCCCGCCTTTTCATTCATCATGTCCAACCTCTTCTCCGGGATGTAAGTAACCGTGCTATTTCCTCTGGTTGATCTTGTTCTTTTTGCCTCACTACATACCTCCTCTGCGGTCAGCATTTCTCCCACAAAAGACAGAAGAGGCCCTCGAGCAGGAGCCACGAGGAGCCTCATCGTCAAGGAGCAGGTTGGATTGTCCAAGGCCAAGCCCCATTCCCCTGAGCGTCTATTCGGCAGGTCCATCTCTATTCGTTCGATATCGACAATCAGCTAGAGGCGGAGGCTGTATACTTGATCACGCCTCAGGGCCTGAATTGAGATTCAAGGAGGCGGTCCAGATACCTATATCAGAGACACCCCTTAACAGCCACCGCCTGTTTGCCAATTCCACATGCTTGCAGGCCGGCCACGTTCCTCTCCGTATGAGTCAAGTGGTTCAAGATAGAATTGTTTGGCAAGGTATAGCCTGGTAGGCCAGGTTGGCCAGATTCTCCCTCCATTCAATACCGATAGCATCTTGCCCGCCGCGCATCAGTTCCGGCATTGGCCCTCGGCATCTAGATAACGAGACATGTCGCAATACCTATTACAGAGCTGTCTTTGAGACCTGAAAGAGCACAAATACGGCATACCCCAGAGGAGATGTTCCCCAGGGTGTGCTCGTTGTGCTTTGAAACACCATTGCGACAGCCGTTAGCTGGCACGAAGCTTGAATTACTACTGACTATGGATCCGTAGCAACGCTCGATTTCGAGGCGCTTCAACGAAGCCGTCCGGCCAAAAGAGCCCATCCCCGTCGACAGGCGGCCAGCCTCTGCCAGCTGACACTGCTTCTCAAGGCAGTCAGTCCTCGACAAATCTTGCTCCCAAGGTTCCGCCTCTGCCAAATTCCCCATCCCTCGCCCAAACGATCGGAATGGACGGATCTAGTAGCGGAATGTCCAACGCCGAAGATATCATCAATAACTACCACCTTCCCCGGCCGCTACCTTTATGGCTTAACGCCCAGTATGTCAAACATATTGTCAAAGGCAACTTTATGACGTTGAGTGCTCGACCAAAGACTGTGGAGCAAGGAGAATGGATTGCCCACCAAGGTATGCAAAACGTTCCGCGTGATGATGTTATAACTTCCCACCAGCTGACTGTCCGAGATAGTTGTCGAGCATTATCGGAACCTATGGAATTTTGTGCGTGTGGTTCATGAGAAAGAGGATGACGGCACAAGCATTTGCAACCCCACCACTTGCCCTCGCATGTCTGCTGGAGCGTGAGTGTCAATACGGTCAATACTTCACCAAGATGGAAATACTTACGTGTTATATAGAAATCATTCCTTCACATGGCTCAACAACAGACGAGAGCCGGTAGAACTTCCTGCATACGAGTACATGACGTTGATGCAGAGATGGATTTCGGGTAAAATTGACGACACCGCAATCTTTCCCACAGACCCTTCCGGTGTATCATACGCCCACAACCCCAGCATTACAACGACGCCTTTATCTCAACTCTCCAACCCCGGAGAGGCCGAATACATTGGAAAAAGGTCGGGCTTCCCGGAGAAGTTTCTCGAAGTTTGCCAGATGATTTTCCGCCAAATGTTCCGT